GCAATCTTGAGAACGAAAAATGGAGCTGTAGGAATCAGGCTCCCTGACTTCAGACTATACTACAGAGCTACAGTAATCAAGACAGTATGGTACTGGCACAAAACCAGAAAGATAGATCAATGGAACAGGATAGAAAGCCCAGAGATAAACCCACGCACATATGGTCACCTTATCTTTGATAAAGGAGGCAGGAATGTATAGTGGAGAAAGGACAGCCTCTTCAATAAGTGGTGCTGGGAAAACTGGACAGGTGCATATAAAAGTATGAGATTAGATCACTCCCTAACACCATACACAAAAATAAGCTCAAAATGGATTAAAGACCTAAATCTAAGGCCAGAAACTATCAAACTCTTAGAGGAAAACATAGGCAGAACACTCTATGACATAAATCACAGAAAGATCCTTTTTGACCCACCTCCTAGAGAAATGGAAATGAAAACAAAAATAAACAAATGGGACCTAATGAAATTTCAAAGCTTTTGCACAGCAAAGGAAACCATAAACAAGACCAAAAGGCAACCCTCAGAATGGGAGAAAATATTTGCAAAGGAAGCAACTGACAAAGGATTAATCTCCAAAATTTATAAGCAGCTCATGCAGCTCAATAACAAAAAACCAAACAACCCAATCCAAAAATGGGCAGGAGACCTAAATAAACATTCTCCAAAGAAGATATACAGACTGCCAACAAACACATGAAAGAATGCTCAACATCATTAATCATTAGAGAAATGCAAATCAAAACTACAATGAGATATCATCTCATACCAGTCAGAATGGCCATCATCAAAAAATCTAGAAACAATAAATGCTGGAGAGGGTGTGGAGAAAAGGGAACCCTCTTGCACTGTTGGTGGGAATGTAAATTGATACAGCCACTGTGGAGAACAGTATGGAGGTTCCTTAAAAGACTACAAATAGAACTACCATATGACCCAGCAATCCCACTACTGGGCATATACCCTGAGAAAACCATAATTCAAAGAGTCATGTACCAAAATGTTCATTGCAGCTCTATTTACAATAGCCCGGAGATGGAAACAACCTAAGTGTCCATCATCGGATGAATGGATAAAGAAGATGTGGCGCATATATACAATGGAATATTACTCACCCATAAAAAGAAACGAAATTGAGCTATTTGTAATGAGGTGGATAGACCTAGAATCTGTCATACAGAGTGAAGTAAGTCAGAAAGAGAAAGACAAATACCGTATGCTAACACATATATATGGAATTTAAGAATAAAAAATGTCATGAAGAACCTAGGGGTAAGACAGGAATAAAGACACAGACCTACTAGAGAATGGATTTGAGGATATGGGGAGGGGGAAGGGTAAGCTGTGACGAAGCGAGAGAGAGGCATGGACATATATACACTACCAAACGTCAGGTAGATAGCTAGTGGAAAGCAGCCGCATAGCACAGGGAGATCAGCTCGGTGCTTTGTGACCGCCTGGAGGGGTGGGATAGGGAGGGTGGGAGGGAGGGAGATGCAAGAGGGAAGAGATATGGGAACATATGTATATGTATAACTGATTCACTTTGTTATACAGCAGAAACTAACACACCATTGTAAAGCAATTATACTCCAATAAAGATGTAAAAAAAAAAAGTAACCATACTCTTTGCAGGTCTGCAAAAAAAACCTTCAAAAATAGCTCAAATTACAATGCAAGTTACATAGTCTATTAAGCAGTAGGGCTATTCAACTGAAATCCCCTTTCATAAACATTAGATTAAGGAACATTCCATATTGAGCTGTTTGCACGTGCTAAGTTATAACTGGCATTTTCACATACATTATCTCATTTAATCTTGACAATAAACAAAAAACAAACTAAAAAAACCCCCACATATTTCAGAAGACATAAACATACCTCAGCCTTTACTTCCTCCTCAAAGGGGACAAAATGGCAAAATAATTCTTCCTTACCACCTTCAAATTTACATTGCTCCCGTTCTCAGGAGAAGACTCAAGTTACTGTCAAAATGACATGTAAGATTTTGCATACTAAACACAAAATCCACATAAAATAGGATTTAAACTTGCCCCTAGTAAGTGAGGATGGAGTCAAGCTTCCCCTGAAGCACAGGGCTGCAAAGAAATGCAGAACTTAAAATCTGGGTTCTGGTGTGAAGGATGACACCAGTGCTTACCATGAGAGTAAAGGCAGAAGAGTTTTTCTTTTCCTGCTCCCCCATCTCAGTAGATTGAGGACCCAAGTGAGTTCCTAGTGACACTCACACAGCTTACTGTCAACATTAATAGCTTTACTATTTGACTGTCTTCCTTCACAAGGCATTAATATTCTAGGAAACTTGCCCAGGAAGCTAAAGTTACAAATAACTTTAATGTTCAAGGATTTCCCCAAAGTCATTTATCTGAACACTAGACTACTCAACTTTCCCTCATTTCATAAATACGAAAATCAGTGTCCAGAGAGGCGGCAGTTGCATTCCTGGTCAGGGGTGGAGACAAGATTTGAAGCCAGGTCCCTTGACCTCTGCCCAGAAGTCTCCCCCCAACACTACACTTCGTATCAAACTAACAATAAGTTCCAGGCCCCAAAGAGTTGACAGTCAGCTTTTCGAGACAACAGATGAGAGCAATGTTTATCTTGTTGAAGGTAGAGAACCTCAGAAATCACTTTACTCACAAATCGAGGCCTAGAGATGTATTGTGGTTGCTCCATGTCCGTTAATTGGTATAATAAATGCAAGAGAAGAAATATTACAAGATAGTATATGATTTAACTGCCAGAGAATGGTAAAAACCCACAAAATAGTTTCTTTCTGAAATAAATGACTGTGGGCCAGAAAGGACTCACAGGATTCGAGCTGACTCTTGAAGCAACAGATGGAACGAGGCAGGCTCAGAGAACAACAGTTCATTTGTTAAAGTAGTTTCAGGGACACTATTTGGGTTGGGGCTGGAAAGATAGGGTTAAAAGCATTTACAATTTCCAACCAAGTATACACTTGATTCTGTGGAAACAGAAAGACTGAAGTTTAGAGAAGGTTTCTTAGGAATGCCTTGGTAGCAATATGTTGAAACTTCCTAAGTACTTACTTGAGTTGATTCATTCTAACCCACTAGCAACCTTCTTGCTACTACATGCTTTAGTAAAGCACTGAAGCTTAGGAAGTTTAAAAAAACACTTAATTACTTGTTATTCTTCCAAGTGAAGTATCAAGATATTTTCAAGGAATTTAAAACATGACTCTCTCAATTATGCTTAGATTTAAAATAAGTTTCAGATAAATCAAACCTCTATTTGCTCAACTGACTTCTTATATTTTCATTTTCAGGATACAACCAGTCTGAGTTGTGATACTACAATGAGAACAGGCTTATAAGTAGTGTCACACATAGCCAAATGGGTAAAAAGGGAGGACAGCTGATTTCATTAATGGCCACAATACAGTACTGGTATTATCACCATTTGTAATGAATGAATCAAAATTAAAAAATCATTAAAGGAGAAGGAACATTTTAGATGTTTAGTTCAAGTATGTAACTGAATCTTACTACTTATAGAGTATCAAAGTTCCAATTTAAACTTATGTTTTTCTAATTTCAATGGCTCTAAAACAGGTGCAAAAGTTGCTGGATATGAAATACCAACATATCTAAATCTGCAAGTAGGATATTCAATTTAAAATTTACTTTTAGAATTACACAATTATACTCAGTATGACCACTCATTTAAATTCCAACCCAAAACAATTATGATTAATAAAACACCCACATCAAAAGTAATTTGTCAATCATACGTCAGTAAAGCTTGGGAAAAAAAATTATCAGAAGAATTCTAACTTAAATTATGCAATGAATCAGAATATCCTAGGTAACTTTAAAATGAGTTAAAATGTTCATTCAAAAATGTTTATCTAATCACAAGTCCAGTACTATGCCTTTTTATGCATCGGGCTCAATAAGAACACAACTGACTAGAGAGAAAACTGCTTTCAAAAGCATCATTTATGGTAATAACCTCGATTCTTTATGCAGTACCCAAAACACAAGACTGCAAGTACTGAATTCTGGTATTTCTGAATATATTTGTTGCAATATCTGATAAGAGTGAAATTTTAAAATTTATATTGTAATTTCATATATAAATTGCTAAATCTGCAGTACTCGTGCTGAAAAAAAAAAGCATGATTTGAAATCTTGTGGTTTCTAATTGTACCTATTTCTGCCCTAGCTCTCTGAGCCTGTTCACATGTAATGCTCAGATATCACATACTGTAGTCAGACTAAATGAATTATTACAGGAAAAGAGCACAGCTTCAATACTCAATGAATGAAAAATGTTCCCCATGGAACCTTCATTAAAACTGCTGTCAGTCTTGCTCATTTAAGTATTTAGGCAATACGTGGTAGAATACTGCATTTTCTAGTGGAGTGATCAGATTTCAATACTTTAGTGCTGGAGCTGAATGACTGAGGCATCGTGGGGAGCAGCGTTCTCCAGGATGCTGATATTGCACCTTATTCCCTCCTAGACGATCTGTTGCTAAGCTGCCATGTGGAGCCCCTTTAAACCAATGCAGAAACAAAAGGGGTCTGGTTAAAGGTAAAATGATCCCAATATAGTTTCTGTAAGCCTCTGGTGTGACAGAAAATTGATTATTCAGATGTCTACAGTGACAATCATGAAGACACACAAGATCATCTCTTTTCTGAAATATCAAGTCTACATGTTCAGCCTACTTGTAATCTTCTGTATATATTGTTTTTAATCACTTAAAAACTTAAAACTATATTGTCATGTATACTACAAGACTAGAAAAATAGAACGCTTAATTAACGAACAGCATTTCTCTATCATCTCAAGTGACAGAAACAGATGTGTATGACTCTAGCCTTTTGATTACACATATCAAGTATATACACAGTGATACAAATATTCACTTGAACACTGTAAAATGCAAATTAATTAAGCATCGTTAAATATGCAACTAGAAATCACACTTGCCTTCAGCTTCAGTGAAGTGCTTAGAAAAGTTTATTTTGTGCTTATTTTTCTAAAGCATCACAAAATTACACATCCAAACTCTTCAATGGTAGAATATTTAATATTCTAAAGGAGAGGCCTTTAAAGAAAACTGTTGTACATTATGATATTGTAAGTCTAATGGATTCACACAGCAGCAGAACCTAGATGAAAGGGGACATTACAGAAATTGTCTATTACCATAATGGAGAGGTGATCCATTCTAAATATTTATGCTTTTTCCCCTTCTTGTAGCTAACACAGTTTTCTACTGCTGCCGCACACGTCCGCCCACCCCCTCTTTTGCTGTAAGGTGAAAACTCTTAAACTCTTCAAGGAGTAAAAATATATTAAATGTCCCACCTTGCTGGTACCCACCTGTGAAATACCACACAACAGAAAGTACAGTAGAATACTGAGTCTGTCTTTTCAAAAACATAAGCCTTTTATGAGTTTAAGACATCAGGCATACATTGACTTTGTAAAATCAATTAAGAACTTTCTGTATGAGGACAAATATACATTGAAAACATACACTACAAGATGCTTTTTCCTGAGTAGAATGCTAACTTTATATCAAATTAAGCTTCTGTGAATTTTCAAAATGTAAAATACCAAGGCTTTTCCACAAAATCAAATAAAAATCAGGAATGTTCACCTTCACATCCAAAAAAAGTTCAAGTAGAGGTTCAACAAGAATGATGTAAAATCTGAAACAAGTAGCCAAGATTTTAAATTATCAGTAGATGCCTCTTCACTTTTAAGGATTCCTCAGTAAACTTCAGTTTAAAACAATTTATTAAAACATGAAAAACATTTCCAGGAAATTATCCAATTTGGAAAATGAAAAATGTAACTCATGGTAAGAAAAATACAAATCATACACTGAACAGAGGAGAACAAAAAGGCAACCAACCTTTTATAGGAATCAAGACAACACCATGGGCTTATAAAATCTTCCTAAACATATCCTGTATTATCATATGTAGAAAACTGTAACTAAAGTAAGGTAGCTTTTATTAGTTGCATACTCTAAAGCTATGACTAAATTTTGGAATTTACCTCTAAAAGGACCTCACAGTTGTCACTGAAATACACATTTCTTGAGACAATGGGCAAAGTTCCCATTTATGGGAAATATGTTCTTTTTTTCACACAGTGAAACTGAGAAAAATTATATCAAATGAGAAATCTTTTTCTCTAAAGTAATCTCCTTAAATACCTCAATAATGCAATACTTGGGAAATGTAATTTTTCAACTCAGACTTGAAAAGGTTATTATGAAACAAACATACAGAAATCTTATTGCTTGGCACCAGATTTTTCAAAAATTAAACAACTGTTTGAACCACATACTGTTCTCAAATCCTGATTTTTCAAATAATGCTACTTTTATTTTCTGAAGGTAGACTGTTCAACCTAATGACAATCTAGACTGAACCCTGCAATGTACAAGCAAGTCACAGTTCACTTCAAACCAAAAGAAATGATCAATCTTCTGTTTTTGTCAAAATCATATGAATATACTTGTACAAATTAACTAGATTTATCTGTGGCCAATGAAGGAGCCACAGAACGTTGTCTTATGGCATTTTGTGCAAAGTCTGTGTTTATTCCTTCTTTGCTTTCAGGTTCCTCTTCTGAAACATCTTCTTCATCAGCCTCTTGTTCTTCCTCCACTTTTTTCAGAGGTTGAGAAGATTCTAGTAATAATTTTTCTTAAAGATAAAAACCAGAAATGTTCTTTTGTTGATGTATTAGAGTTGTGTTAAGAGTACAATCAAGACACAATTCATATGCCCATAAATTGCTTTGGCATTTATTTATCAATCATGTTTGGATTTCCAAAAGGAGAAAGCTATCTTCAAGAACAAGTGATACTGTGAAAATAACTGGTTTGGAAGATCCATTTTACTTACCAAATTCATTCTTATTATCCACCTATTCATAAACTGAACTGAAATTAATGAACCAGAATTAATGCTGTGCATATTGTTGTAAGAAAACAGACTGCATTAAATATAACTATCTTATATTAAGTTGCTACTAAATCTTCTAGCTAAGAAGTATACTAAGACAAACTTCAATACCACCCTTGTTTCAGCTCCCAGGAGAACAGGAATCAGACACTTAAGCTGAAGGCTATTTTCCTAGCCATGTTTTTTTCAAGTGATTTCATAAAGATGCTTCCACTTCTCCACGTATGTAATTTTATTAAGGTGTAATTACAAATAATATAAGATACATATCTTAAGTATACAGCTCAATTAATTTTTTAATATACACACACACACATATACCCCCCCCCCTTTGTTAATAGGGACTGTTGCTAGTTAACTTAAACTTAGAAGACACCATGTTACTGAGATCCAGAACACAGAATTTGGCCAATGAGCTTTTCTCTGTTCAGTGATCCGAGACCGCCCCTAATCCTAGGCAACCTGGAATGGAGCGGGAAGAACACGGGGATGCAAGGTAGAAGAAATTACGGGAAGGAATTACCGTAAAGAGGACAATCTGTTGTTTGGTCTGTCTAGCATCCCTTTTCCTGTTGGGTTACCCCTTCCCTATGCTACATCCCAGGTGGCTGTGGTGGACACAAACGACAGTTTAGAGCAGTGGTTCTCCACCAGGGGTGATTCTGCCTCCTAGGGAACACTTGGCTATGTCTGAAGATATTTTTGGTTGCTACAACAGAGAGGGGTGGTGCTACTGGCAACCAGGGGGATGCTGCTGAACATTCAATAATGTACAAAAGACAGTTCATCACGATTAAGAATTATCCAGGCCAAAAGACCAATAGTGTCAAGGTTGAGAAACCCTGGTTTACAGTGACTGTTCCAAAAAGTGAGCCCTCTATACAAGTGGAATACACCAGAATTTTTCCAAAAGATAGGTGAGTACAGGGAGAAGTATATTGCCTTCTTACTCTGGGATTATGAGCTATAGCTTTCTATAGTCATTCTATTCTCAGGACTAAAAAGACCCCAAAATGGAGCAAGCAAAGTTATAGAGAACTGAGCAATTCAGAAACATAAAAACATTTGAGCCCCAGGATCCAATCAACTCTGCCCTCAGGCTTCCTGACTATGTGAACCAATAAATTCTGATTTTGCTTAAAGTTAGACTCAGTTGGATCTTTTCCTAGCAACTCAAAATCTAAGCCAAACACACATAATGGAAAACAACTCAAAAAACTCCTGTAGCCTGCTGTAGAAGGGGTAATATCACATTAAAGTATGGATTAGTATCAGTTGTGTCACAGATTACTTGAGACAAATCTGTTATTAGGTTTAAGGTTTTTGAAGCAAAATAAATATAAAATGTACATTCACTGACTTAATTGTCTTTTAAGTAATCTGTGCTTATTATATTTTTTCCTACAGGTCAGTGACCCTTGGTGGATAAAATTATTCCCTCCCCTACCTGTGTTCTTCTTAGCATCAATGCAACTATCTAAGAAATTTTTTAAAAAACCCTATCAGTTGTTCGACAGACAAGGAATACTGTAAATGCAATCTCCACTGATTTCATTTCAGGAGTTTTGACCTCAGTTTAAGTCCTAAGTCACGAAATACAACAGAAATGTCAGGCCAAAAGTCTGGTTTAGGTTCTACTCTCAGCTCTGTCATTTCTGTGTGAACTTGGAAACACAGTTCTCTCTCAGCTTTAGTTTCCTCAACCACAAAATGGGAAGAGTATCACTTATGCAGTCTACTTAAAGAGCTGCTGAAAAGCAAATGGGACGACAGAAAGTGAAAGCTCTTTACAAACAGCAAATAAGAGGGCCTTCATAACAGTATGATTTTCAAGATTAAAAATAAATGATTGGTAGGTAATCCTATTAAGATAAACAGCAGTGAATATTCTAATTCTATAAACCCATCGTGTAGTAAAATACAATGGCAATGAGACTCCTCAAGCAGCTACAGGATTTGCTTCTCCCAATAACCTAACAGAAAAACTTAGACTTGACCAGCATACAAAGAAAAAGCTTCAAATGCGGTCACTGTACCAATGAAAAGACTTCAAGAGTGGAATATATTCAACTTTTTTTGACCCAAGTATATTCAAATGGATCCATGAATATCATGGAATTTTCAAACAAATTGACATCAGGTCAATGGTTATCAAACATCTCTAAGTTATATGCAGTGTTAAAATTCTCCACACTATAAACACCAAAAAAAAAAAACCTATGTTTCTAAATCCAATGGGCTGTCATTCTTACATGAAATATACATCCCTCTTCCCCCACCACTCCATATTTAGAAACCTAAGCTAGAAAGGCAACCTGTTTTATGTGTGATTGTGTTTATTACAGAAATCAATGGGATTATAGTGAATAAAAATAAACATTTAAAAATATACTTACTGGAAGGGTATGGCTGTGGTCTGCGCCTTTTTGAAGGACAAAGGCAATCTGCCACAAATATCATGCACTGCAAAAATAAACATAAGAAGTATGAATGTACAATATAAAGCTAGTGAAACTATATTGAATTATGAAATTCTAAAATATTTTTCTTCCCAGTACTCCAAAAACGAAGTGCTTACAAGTCCTAATAATAGTCCCGAAAGCAGAGTTGCTAAAGCAAACACTGTATATGATCCCCAAACCGGTAATCCAAGGTCTTCAATAAAATAGTTATGGTAAGTCTAAAATCAAAAGAAAAAAATAAACTAAAAACATGGTCATTTCTTAAAAAGTGACAGTGTCAAAATGTTTAAAATAGAAATAAAATTTTAGCCCATACCCTGATCCACATAGACAGCTGAAAGAGTGCTGACATACTACTCATCCTAAAATAAAGAGACAAGTGAAAAACTGAATCAGATACACAGCTTTGAAGTAGAATACATGTGTGTTACCTATATCTTCTATTTTTTACTCTATAACTTCCCCAACACAACAGATTTTATTGCTGATGTTACTCAAGATTAGTGATACATCAGTGATTTCAAGCCCATAATAAGAAGGCTTGTTAATGGAAATTAACAGTTTCTGAATTTTTGCCACTATGTGATATCCTCATAAACAAAACACTTGATCATTTTTTTTTCCTTTTCTCCTATTGTTTTGACTATAACCTTTCACCTGATGATCTCTCCAATATACTTTGAGTACAGGTTACAAGCTCTATGGAACAAACTGGTTTGAAGTTAGGCACACTGTAAGCAAATGGCAACTCTTATTCACCCTTAAAATCTTCCAAAGAAGAAGTAGAGAAGGGAGCCTGAAGGAAGACTGGGAGCACTTGCTGAGTTGATCCTTCCCACCTAAGAATTACCCTCCTTTTGTATTAAAATTAAACTTACAACAGCATTAGTTTGATATAGTTTAATGATATACAAAATAATTACACAAGAAATAAATGCTGTTACCATATAAGTAAAACGGTAAAAGTAAAAATAACAATTTTCACAAAATTAAACCCAAGTAGCTTTGATGGGCAGTTAGAAAACAGGCCTGCTCCAAAACTTAGCTTTGTGGGTTCTCTCTAGCAGAAGTGGGGCCGCTAACACATAAACTAATTCACACACAAGCCAGAGGTCCTGCATGCAGGATGGCCTAATCCAATCACAGATCGCTGGGTGGATGAACCTGCCAAGCTGACCCTGGGAGCGCCTCTTACTCAGTCTACCAATAAAAGAGGTATGGACTGCTGTCCGGAGGAGTCAGCGGAGACTTACAAGCGACCCCCACTTCCTCGACCAGAGAGGGGAAGAATCATTTATGACATGAGATTTCAAACAAAAATCAGTTACATTTTCTGTCCAACACAGACAGGTACATTAACCATGTTGCTTCTGTTCTTTAAAACACAAAGTAGGAACAAGGAACTGAAACATGAATCACTGTGTTGTCTCACTGTAGTCTGTGCTAATTAGATTCTATCAGAAAGAGCAGGTGCCTTATTTGGGTTGGGCATGGTGGCTCAGTGGGGGAATTCTGACAGTTCAATTCAGAGGTGTAAGGAAAAGGTCCTAAAGATGAACTTTCTTTTTCAAAATACTGCTTAGGGATGATCATGCCCCCACTCCCAGATCCAGAGCATTATCGCTTACACTCTCCATCCTCCAAAGGCAAGTGTGATAAGAGGACAGGAAGAGACAGCTTAGCCACACCAGGATGAGTCCATGGTGGCCTCAGCAAAACTCAGTATTCCCAGAGGTCTCTCAAATGACCCGTGAGGCCTTGCTCCCCAAGAAAGATTCAGAAAATGTGCTAGTTATGCCCAATCCTACTGCTCCATAGCAAGCTGCTATGGAGAAATGTACCCTCTACCTACATATAAAGCTCAGTGGTTAGTCATGTCATTAGGCTCATTGTTCATCCATACTATTCGTACAAAAAGCTATCAGACAGGTGGAATAATTCAATCACATTAAATCAAGAACTTAAATCTAAAGGTAGCATGAGTAGGTCTATGGCTGAGGCTTCTCATCCAAATGCTAAGCTCAAATGATAGGGACTTCCCTGGTGGTCCAGTGGTTAAAACTCCACACTCCCAATGCAGGGGGCCTGGATTTGATCCCTGGTCAGGGAACTAGATCCCGTGTGCCGCAACTAAGAGCCCATATGCCTCAACTAAAGATGCCACATGCCGCAACTAAGACCTGGCACAGCCAAATAAATAAATAAATATTTTAAAAAACAAAAACAAACAAAAAACCCCTCAAATGATAGTTTTACCTATTATATCGCTCACACTCTTAGGGGAATTTATTAGTTTTTGATGATACAAATGACCATATTTACAGAACTAAAATATTCCTAAAAAGACTTTCAGCTTAATTCTATAGACTGCCTCCTTCTACATTAACAAGGATCACAGTATCCACTGGACTTAGAAGATAAAGTCAAACTGAAAATAACACATAGTAAATCTGAACATATCTTAAGAGTCCTAGAATTAAAACTAAGTAAGTATCCTTTATTTACATGAAATATATGTCCCAATTAATCCTGAAATAAATAAGAGAAAAACCCCTCATACTTACAAAACAGAACCTGGACCAACCCATGATGAAACAGGTTCAATACTCTTCCACTCTTTTTCACTTATAAAGTTTATGAAGTCCTTCTTAGTCCTTGGGCCCTGATAACGCCTAAATTCACCATTTTTACAACTAAAGAAGATCACAAGTAAATATTAATCAGCACCAAATAAATAAACTTTGTTTTGCTATTTCTATAACCTCATTTTACAATCAATCCTAATCTTCAAAATCATCAGCAATGCAGAAGTAGCAAATTACACTAATTACCTACCCTTGACATCTTAGCCCCAAATTTAATTAAACACTGAGGTTATACCTTTAAACAATCGTAAGTCTTAAGACTGTTATTGTTACTCTTCCAAATAATAAAACTATGAAACACAGTAAGTAATTATATGTCAATTATGTCTCAATAAAAAACTGGGGAGAAAAAGAAATGCAGTACGTAGATATATCTCAGAAAATTACTTTTAAGCCACAATACACACATTAAAGAGATGACTTCATGAAAAAGCAGTTAGAATCCCGTCTGACATTTATTATTTATTAGCTATTGTTAAAGAACTTTCACAGCCATCATGCTTTAAGTCACTGGAGGCATCTGATGCAGTGACTATTCGGCTTTGCGTTCTTTCTGACACCCACCTCCTCCTTCCCATTCCTAATGCACGGAGCTCTGTCATAGGATCGTAAGTGCTCTCCCTGTTCCCACATCTTCACCATTTCTAAACTACCTTAAACAATACTGCCAGTCTAACTCTACTCAGTCAACACTTCAATTTTTATCACTTAAGCGCAAAAACTTTCCATAGCTCCCCACTACCTACAGTAAGATTAGAGGATCCTTTATCCACCCAGAGCCAAAGACAACAAGGAAGCCCCCACTCAAAAACCCAAAGTTTTGCGGAGAAAATGACATTTGAGCTGTTTTTGAAGGATAGGTAGGATTTCAGCAGGCAGAAATTAGGGGAATGGGCATGATAAACAATGTTACTAAAAGAAAAAGGCAGGAAATTCCAGAAAATTTCAGGGGGTGTTGAGACAAGAGGGAGACTGACTAGCCAGTTAAGGGGCATGTGGAGAAAAGGACTGAGTAAAAACGGAGAGAAGCACTTACAGAGACAGAGAAGAGACATTTAAACATATACAAAGGGAGTCGTGGCAAACAAAAAGGTACAGGGAAACAGATACAAACATGAAAAAAAGACAAGGAAAATCAAGATACACACAGAACCGCCGACTTCTTGTTTGTGTAACTTTTAAGTGAAGGAGAGAAGTGCCTCCTGGCATTCAACCTACCAGCTAGATGAACATTAAGGTTCAGGGCAGATACAGAGATTTAAGATTTCTTATGGCCAGTTCAGAAGATAAAGACAAACGAAAAAACCTGACACTGAACACTACATAATCTTGTTTATTCTGACTTAACAACCATTTCACCTACCACTGTCCCCAAGGCTGAGCAACAGCACTTTCTAATAGCTAATGTTTGAACATACCATGCTCCTAATTATAACTGTTTATGAGACTGTTCTCAGGATGGAATGCTTACTCTGCACTCTTGAAAATGCTACCTCCAAAGTTGAGTTTAAACCCCATATTCTCCAGGAACCAGTCCAAAGCAGCGATTTTTTTCCCTTACCAAATTTCCTACAGTACTTACCACAACTCTGCGCTCATGATCACTTACTAGCTGAATGGTATCACACCATTTCTCGTGCACATCATCTTCTAAAACAATTACAAGTCTTTGGGATCACAGATTGTTTCATGCATCATTCATCTATCTAAAGGCACCTAGAATAGCACTAAGCAAAGTACGCCTTCTAGTAAACTTATTGAATATAAGGCTCTTTAAACATGATCTAGGCTAGAGGTCTACTATTCTGATTACACTATGACGCATCTTTCGTAACTACAGAATCTTCAAATACTTACTGATAAACAGTAGGAAGAGCACTTATGATAAATCGTCCGCTTAGTCCTACAAATGATAAAGAAAGATTAGAAATAAAAACAAGAAAGAACACACAGCAGGTTTTATATGGGCCAATCACTTACCACTTAAAAGCTGACTCTGAATTACTTGAATACTAATAGGCAAAGAATATGAAATTATACCTAAAAATAGTTGAGCTCTGTAATATAAACAATGAAAGAAATTCCAATTACGTACTTAAAGCAACTGAAAAAAAAAAAACCCTACTATACATTATCTCCATTTAAAAGTATGTAAAATCTGAATATTGAAGACATTTGTGAATATATATGTATAAACATTTGGTCAATTATACTACTATAAGATTACTAGCTGAGTCATGGGACAGCACAATATAACTGCGGTCTTAGGTCTAAAATCAAATGAAACTGCATTTGATAATCAAAAAGCAAACACAGAGTTTCTAAGGTATTGTTAAAAATGGAAAATATTACGAATCTTCCAAAAGGTGGGCAATAACAGCATCAGCTAACATTATCAACCATGTGTTAAACACTAAAATAACTAAGAACCAATCTATGACTCAGTTTTATGATCTGTAAAACGGGGATACTATCTATCCCACAACGTTGTATAAGGACTACATAATAAATGCAAAACACTTGGAGCAGTACCTGTAACAGTAAGTGCTCACCAAATATTAGCGATTATTACCATTTGGGATGGGGCAGAATCAAGAATCCAGGTTTACTGTGACCAAGAACAGGTAAGAAGCATCTGTAAGGGCAGGGCCTGACACTTCTCCAGGGGGCCAAGTCAGGAGGCCACAACCATGAGGGCTTTGTAATTAACAGCCAATGTTCTCAAATCACAGTTAAAGGATTAAATTTGAAACCCAATTGCAGAGATTTAGACGACTCACACAGGGAATGTGACCTTGACTCTACAAAGAACCTCAACCACATGCTCCTTATTCTGAAGCTTGGTACAGATGCAAATGCTGGGTTAACCAATGTCCACCTGAGCCACAATGTTCTAGGGCTTCTCACAGACGTCTTACATACTAGTCTGGGGCCTGAGATGCAAAGGAAAAAAGATCACAGGCAGTTATGTGAGGGAAGAGTGGGGGGAGGGAGATGTCTCCAAGGTCCCTTAGAGCAATACAGAAAAGAAGTAAGCTGCCATACCCAACCAGGGAATCCACTTTTTGCGGCACTTCACACTGAGCCCCCATCAGGGAGGTGGGTAAGTCAGCCTAACCAGCTGAAGACAGTTCTGTTTTTAAAAACTAGTGAAAGGTAGAGTTAAGATCATGCAATGTGGAAAACAGACCAACAGATCATCCCAATCTGCAACGAAACAAAATTAACCAAAGACTTACAGTACCTGGCTGCTCTGTGACATCTACTTTTGCAACATTAACCTCAAGATCTTCTCCCCATTCGGCAAAACTTTCCCATTCTGGTTGAAGATTCTGACAAGCAGGACACCATGGAGCATAACTAAGAAATAGTTTTTAAAAAAGTTAAACACTCTAATATGATCATATTGGGATAAAAATTCTAAAATGTGTAACTTGTGAAGAATATTTTATACTAAAAACAAGATAACAAAGTGGTTAATTTTGTGAAGATGAAAAGGTTTTAAGTGTGAGTCAAACACTCTGGAAATCAAGAACTATGAATTGATAATGCTAATCACAGAAAAGTAATTCTGAGAATAAGTTTTTAATACACAAGGCCCTTTTCAAGTGCAAAACAGCTCTTTAAAAACCTTTGGGGGCTTCCCTGGTGGCGCAGTGGCTGACAGTCCGCCTGCCGATGCAGGGGACATGGGTTCAGGGGACACGGGTTCGTGCCCCAGTCCGGGAAGATCCCACATGCCGCAGAGCGGCTAGGCTCGTGAGCCATGCCCGCTGAGCCTGCGCGTCCGGAGCCTGTGCTCTGCAACGGGAGAGGCCACAACAGCGAGAGGCCCGCGTACAGCAAAAAAAAAAAAAAAAAAAAAACCTTTGGATTTCTCTTATTATAAGGTGGGCAGAAAGCTCAAAGCCAAATTTGGAGTTCATCAGTTTTAACAATGGTATGTGCAGGAGTCACAAGTGCCAAGGTGCTAGTAAAAAAAGAGGAAGCACCCACGGCTGTGGTGAACAGGAAACACGTGCCTCATCTTAAGGAAGGAAACACTACATAGCTTGACAGGTCCAGGGCAGCTGGCCCAGTGCAGCAGGCTATTCCAATTTAAAAGGAGCTGAAAATCTGCATTTTTATGTAAAAATGCTACCTCAAAACTTAACCCAGGCACAAACACTAGGCAGGCCAAATGAAATTCTCTGCCCAGACCTTGGTCAATCTCGGGTTTATAAATCTGTGGCCAAGCATATTAGCATTTTAATTACTCTTCCGGTATTCAGTCTTAAAAGGCCCTGAATCTTTCCTAGGATTTGATTTTTCCTATTTTATTGTATATTATCTCATAATTTACCTCAGTTTTTTTTAATGGAACCAGGAAGAATAAAGCCTGTACCTGTTAAACACAAGAGTACAGTTTCTGTACTTCATTCTATTTTCTTGACTTATTTTATGAAAATAAAATTCCTAAAAGTAATATGCATTGTGGAACAAGACTAGTACCATACACAAAAGCCAAAGTCCGTAACAATAAATTGAATTACAATGAAAATATCTCTGTAACATAACTCCTGATCAGGGCAGATTTAATGCAGATAACTAACTTGCAGTAAGAGCTGACTATCATTAGAAATACTAGATCCTTTTTCAAGTTTCTTTTGTTTCTTCGGTGCTTTTTAGAGACAACTTCATATTCAGTAGGCTAGGGGAAAAAAATACTACGGTATGCTCTTAATTTCATACAGATGCTCTAATTCAAATCCCCAAATACTTCACTTCTGACTGCTGTATTGATATAGTTTGATCAAATGAGTTAATAAAAATCTCCTTGAGTAATACTTGATTTAATTTGCATAAAAGTTCATAATCACAATTGCTCAACACATTATTTATGAAACTGTGAATATTTTATGGGCACTATCTAAAACAAGGTACTGAGGACAATGAAACCCAAATGCTGTCCCTGGTTATATTTCCTCTCCCCTGTATCTTCAACGGTGCCTGAAAATTCATTTCACTGAGTTACAGATTATATGCATACTATATAAACATTTCCCCTATTGTATCCTGCATATAGATGTTCTATGCCTTGTTTGACTTTATGACTCAGGAGTTACTGATGTGACCTTGTGGGTTCTCCCTTGGGGATGTCCACCTCCACCTCCCTCCTTAACTGGCAACCCAACCACCCAGAAAAACACCCGCCTGAACCCCGTTAAGGAAGGGGGTTATTCTAACAACATCTGCATGTCTACTCTGTGTTAGTTTCTGGAGACAAAAAGAAAGCCACTATGGCAATACCTGGACATATTAATTAAAGCTTTTAGATATGTCTCTCATCTGTAAAATGTGGGAAATAATACCTATCTTATAGAATTTGTAAAGAATTAAATATGATAACGTATGTAAAGAGCTTAGAAGTGTTTAGTACAGTTAACAGCCAGTAATGGTGTTTTTTACTAATGAATAATGACTAGTACCACTAATAATACTGCCATCACGGTCACCACCACCACCAATTTAGTGACTAAAGCAAAGGCAGACAGTTTATTATCTACCGATGCAGAAGGGACGTTATTATAACGGAATCACCACAGACACATGGTTTTACCTGAACAATAAGTGACGAACTGACGCTCTTTTAAGAGTTTATAATCACAGTCATACATTAATTTTTTTAATGCAATACCATTTAGAGAAGCATAAGAGTTATAACCCAAGACATTCAGTACTTTGCAAAAACACACACCCAAAAGAAAAATGAAACGTGGGCAAAGAAAAAACAACAACAAATGATAAAGGGAACGCAGATGTTTAAATAACGCAACTTGAATTTACTTGGCATTGACAATAAAAATATGCCTAATCCATAAAATAACATTTAAAATAAACTAAAAGAGTCTCAAATTCTAACACTGTAAGTGGACTACTTTTTAAGGATAATGAGACAAAAAGAGAGGAGAGGTTCACTCAGTTTCCTCCTTTGTAGAGTTTGGTGAAATAAGTCTGTTAAGTCTGTGAAGACTCATTCCAAAATAAATAATTGTATAGGAACTAGACAGACCAACCACCCTCAACCCCAAAGCCATGAAGAAAGAGAATTCAAAGCTGAAAGTAACCTCACAGGCGCACCTCAGTCCTAGCAACCGAACTAGGGTGCACACTTTAGAAGAAACTTAACAGAGTATCCCCCGGTCAGAAACGAGGAGGGGGTGGGACCACGGCTGCGGAGGATCCCAAGAGGAGTTAGGGGATCGCGAGGAGTCGGGGGCTCCCGCCCCGCGCCTCAGAGTCGCAGTCCCGGGTAGTCTGGGACTTGCATGAGACGAACGGGGATGAAATCGGGGGTCCAGACTTGGAACTAGGACCCCGGCCCACCGAGGGGGCCCCGAGACCACCGCCCCGCACTCACAATTCTATCATCCACTCTCCTTCCAGCAACTCTCTCCAGTTCTCGTCCGTGATGATCCGCACGTCGCTCCGCCGCCCGTGGGTCCAGGAAGCCCCCCAAAGCAACAGCAGCAGCACTGCCACGGGGATCCTGAGACTCCCAGAGGGCGCCATGTCGGCCGCTCGCCCACCCACAACGAGCGCGGCAGCCCTCACTTCGCGAAGCGGCTCCGCACTTCCGCCCACGCGGGCTGATCGGCTCGTGCGCATGAGCGCGGCGGCGCTCGCGCGCGCGCGCGCCTTAAGAACTCTCAATGCGCATGACGAAGCCAGGTCCTAGTGGGTTGGTGGAGCAGAGAAAAAGAGAGAGCTCCTGTTCCCTAGTGCGCATGACAGAAAAGGGGTCTCTCGTCCTGTCTTCTGCTACGCTCTAAACCGTTTTGGAGGAAGAGTGAACGGAGGGCGTGGTATAGAAAGGGGGGCGGGACTTCGGAGATGAACGGCTTAAAAATTTGCCTCAGGATTTTGGCGCCGAATGATTGGCATTTATACTTAACGAAGGCAGTGGGTAAGTTTACACTAAAGCAGTTTCCAGTTAAATGCCCGTCAGAGTTTTCTTTTGTTTCCTTTGAAAATTTTTGTTGGGAAGCTAATGGATGTTTATGAGTCCGAATATTGGTTTACTTCTGGGGGATTATAGACTGTAAAGGGGTACAAGAGAACCTTATGGGTTCACTTTGTATTCTGTATCTTGGTCTGAACAATGCTTACACAGGTCATACCTAAAAAACCATTGAGACTGTATAGCTCAGGGAACTCTACTCAGTGCTCTGTGGTGACTTAAATGGGAAGGAAATCCAAAAAAAGAGGGGATATATGTATACTTATAGCTGATTCACTTTGCTGTACAGCAGAAACTAACACAACATTGTAAAGCAACTATACACCAATAAAAATTAATTTAATCAAAAAACACAAAAAACCATTGAGCTGTACGTGTTTAGTGCACTTAGGATGTGTATTATGCACTTTAGGATGTATGTGATGCCTCAGTTTTATGTAATGCAGTAGTTACAGAGATGCTAAATCAGAAATTCAAAATGGAACAAGACGCAGGCTTGTAACGAATATTTAAGGGGTTTTTCCCTCAAGCATTTGTAAATACAAATCAAAATGTGCAGTCTTTAGAAAGTATTAATCAGTCAAATGAAAATAGTTGCCATTACACCTCCTCACTTCACATTCTCTCCTAAACTCAATCCAGTTGGCTGATTTCCCCACCCCTTCGCTGAAATGCCCTTTCTAGGACACTAGTAATCTGCGTGTTAACATTATCTTTACTTGACTGCCAGCAGCATTCTGTCACCACACCCTTCTTGAAAGGCACAGTGTGGTGCCTCACTTGCTTTTTTTTCTCCTCACTAGCTGCTCCTTCTGAAATTCTTGGCCGTCCTCCCGTACTTGACTTCCAGACATTGGCTTTCACCAGGATGCTGTACTGGCCCCCCTCCTCTTCATATCCACATGCTCCTCCAGATAACCTCAATTCTGGCTTTAAAAGCTATCAATATGCCTGTCGTTCCAGCCCTGACCTTTCTGGGAACTTCAGACATGTATGTGGTTAAAAAACAAAAGTCAACCAAGTAAATTTAAAGATCTGATTGTCTTGGGACTTCCATGGCAGTCCAGTGGTTAAGACTTCGCCTTCCAATGCAGGGGGTGCAAGTTCGATCCCTGGTTGGGGAACTAAGATCCCACATGCTTGTGGCCAAAATATCAAAACAAAAAACAGAAGCAATATTGTAACAAATTCAATAAAGACTTTAAAAATGGTCAACATCAAAAAAAATCTTAAAAAAAAGATCTCATTGTCTTTATTTGGTGATTCATGAATCAGGCAGCATCCCATCTAGCAACTAGAAGGGCTCTCCTAGAGGTTATACAGAATGGAAGGCTTTTATAGGAAGAAGGGTGAGGTAAGGGAGTTATTAGCAAAAGAAAAGAAAATTATTTTTTAGGCCTTTTTAGGAGAGGAGAACTGGCAAGGGTTTTATCATGAGATTGCCTCTTCTTTAAGTCTGGATTTGCTCTCATGGGGGGCAAATGACTCCATTTTAAGACTGTTATTTCTTTTTTAACAATATTCAACCCGTAGCTGGACACCTCTTGGATATCTAATAGGTAGCTTAAACATAACAGGATCAAAAAATAAAATCCTTGATTCTCCCTCTCCTGGTTTTCCATCTCAGTTAAGAGCCCCAAGGTCCATCTGGTTGCTCAAGACAAAAATTTACATTTTAATTCTTCATTATTGTTCTCTCTTTTCATCCCCTCTTCATGTACTCCGTCAGCAAGTCCCATGAACTCTACCTTCTCTAATATCCATCTCCACAGCCAATACCCTAGTCCAAGTTTCTATCATCTCTTGCCTCGACAATAGTAGATTCCTAACTGATCACCCTGTGTCCTCTCTCTTGCTTCTCTAAATAAGATCTAGCAATTTCTCCTTAAAACCCTCCAAGAAGTTCCCACTGCACTAAACATTAAAACCAAACTCCTTAAACTCATTACGATGGCTTAAAAAGTCCTACATGATCTGACATCTGCCTAACTGCTACCTCGTGTAGTACTGGCTCTCCTCCTCCCTACCCTGCTACGCTCCAGGGGGTCCCTGAATAAATCAAATTCATTCTCACACTAGAGAATTTGCATTAGCTGTTCCCTCTGCCTACACTACTTCCCCACCAGTCTTCACATCACTCCTTTATTTTTTTTTCTAATATCACTAGACCATCAGTACTTTATTATTATTTTTTTAACATCTTTATTGGAGTATAATTGCTTTACAATGGTGTGTTAGTTTCTGCTTTATAACAAAGTGAATCAGTTATACATATACATATGTTCCCATATCTCTTCCCTCTTGCATCTCCCTCCCTCCTACCCTCCCTATCCCACCCCTCTAGGTGGTCACAAAGCACCGAGCTGATCTCCCTGTGCTATGCGGCTGCTTCCCACTAGCTATCTACCTTACGTTTGGTAGTGTATATATGTCCATGCTACTCTCTCGCTTTATCACAGCTTACCCTTCCCCCTCCCCATATCCTCAAGTCCATTCTGTAGTAGGTCTGTTTCTTTATTCCCATCTTGCCCCTAGGTTCTTCATGACCATTTTAAATGGAATATTTTAATACATCGTCCTTTGTGACTAACTTCTTTTATTTAGCATAATGTATTCAAAGTTTGTACATGTTGTAGCATGTATCAGTACTCCGTTTCTGTTTATTGCTGAGTCACATTCCATTTTATGAATATATCTGTTTATCCATTCATCAGTTGATGGACATTTGTTCTGCTCTTTGGCTGTTTATGAGTAATGCTACTATCAACATTCACAAGTTTTTGCAGGAACATAATGTTCTCATTTCCCCTGGGTACACACCTTAAATGGAAATGCTTGTGGTATAGTATCTAAGAAACGGACTATTGCCCAATCCAGGGTAACCGATGTTTTTTATCTAAGAGTTTTATAGTTTTATCTCATACATTTGTGTCTTTGATCCATTTTGAGTTAATTTTTATGTATGGTGTGGGATAGGGGGTCCAACTTCATTCCATAGCATGTGGATAGCCAGTTGTCCCAACACCATTTGTTGAAAAGACTATTCTTTCACCATTGAATGGTCTTGGCACCCTTGTCAAAAATCAGTTGGCCATAGATGTTCGAGGGGGGTTATTTTTCCCCTGACTTTTCAGTTCTATTCCATTGATCTGTGTGTCTCTCTTGATACCAATAGCACACTCTCTTTGTTACTTTAGTTTTGAAATTGGGAAGTATGAGTCTTCCAACTATGTTCTTTTTCAAGATTATTTTACCTATTCCGGGACCCTTGATTTTTCATATAAATTTTAAAATCAGCTTGTCAATTTCTATTAAAAAGTATGTGGGGATTTTGCAAGAGAATTCGTTAAATCTGTAGAACAAATTGGGGAGTATTGCCCTTTTAACAATATTAAGCCTTCCAGCCCATGAACATGGGAAGTCTTGTCATTTATTTGGGTCTTCTTAATTTTTTTCGGCAATGTTTTATAGTTTTCAAAGTCTAAGTTTTGCACCTCTTTTATTAAATTTATTCTTAAGTATTTATTCTTTTTGATGCTAATGTGAATGGAATTGTTTTCTTAATATCATTTTTGTTTTGTTCATTTCTGCTGTATAGAATTACAGTAGAATTTGGTATTTGTATCCTGCAGCTTTGCTGAATGTGTTTATTAGTTCTAAAAATTACTAGATAATTTTTAGTGGATTCCTGAGGATTTTTTGTGTACGAGATTATGTGATCTACAAGTAGAGATAGTTTTACTTCTTTGTTTCCAATTTGGATGCCTTCTATTTAATTCTCTCACCTAATTTCCCTGGCTAGACCTCCAGTCCAATGTTGAATAGAAGTGGCAAGAGTAGATATCCTTGTCTTGTTGCTGTTCTTAGGGGGGAAGCATTTAGTCTTTTATTATTAGTATGATGTGAGTGTGGGTTTTTCATAGATGCCCTTTATAAGGTTGAGGAAGTTTCCTTCTGTTCCTAGGTGGTTGTGTATCCTGAAAGAATGTTTAATTTTATCACATGCTTTTTCTGCATTTATTAAGATGATCAAGTAGTCTCTGTCCTTTATTCTATTGATATCATTTATTAATTGACTTTTGAATGTTAAACCAACCTTACATACTGCTCACCATATGACAGGCCAGTAAACCTAGAGATGAATTGTTGGGGCACAGAATAGTGACTTTATTTGGAAAGCCAGCAGACCAAGAAGACGGTGGACTAGTGCCCCAAAGAACCATCTTGCCTGGGTTTGGATGCTAGTTTCTTTTATAAACAAAGAGGGGGAGATGAGGAGGTAAAGTAAAAAAGGTAATACACAATAAGTTGTTGCAATATTTCCTGGTTCCAGCTAGACTCTGGAGGAGATGCGGTAATTTCTTCTTCCCTGCAGCAATTCGCAGGTGAGCCTGGTCAGGATGTTTCCTGTGAGCTTAAACAAAGGTATTTTTGCTTGACGTTCAGGCATGGGCGGCAGGGTACCTGGAAATGGGCCATTACGTATACTTTAAGCTATAGGCAACATCCCTTTAGTGATTAACTTGTATTATAGCAAAAGCAATACAATACAAAGGTTAAAGTAAAAGAAACAGATCCAATATGGAGTCAGATCTGTTATTCCCTGTTACAGTTATGGTGTTTAGTTTTTTTTGTATATTGCTAGATTCAGTTTGCTAGTATTTTGTTGAGAATTTTTATATCTGT